ACTACCTGGATCAGATAGCTTTTCAGCAACAGGTCTAGATACCACTGCACTACATGTCTGAGTAAGGGTCACAGTCGACAAGTCCTGAAAGTCAAACTTCCGAGACATCAAGTCCTTCATCATTTTAGCGTATCCTGGCATCTCCTTTAGAGCTTCAATCAGTGGAATGTTTATCTGGATTTGTTTGAGCATCTCTAGGAACTTTTTGTACTGCTCCTCCTTTTGATGCTTGGCCAACCTTTGCGGGAATGGTGCAGGAGGTCTTTTCTTCCCAATCACGTGAGGTTTCTCCTTCTCAGCTACTGTCTCAACTATTGGTTCTGCTGCTGTCTCAATTACTGGCTCAACTACTGTCTCAGTCTCGTGCTGCATATTCGTTTCTTCAGGAGCAGGCTGAACTGTTACCTCTGTCAATCCCGTAGAGTCATCCAGCTCAATGGGCACTGGAATTAGTGTCTCAGCCTGTATGTTTTCTCTAGCTCTCTCTTGCTCAACATCTAGATCCCTACCATTTCGTAGACTCACCGCCATCAGCTGCTTTGGGCCTTGATCTTTTGGATTGATTTGGGTATCTGCAGGTAATGTCCCTTGAGGACGATTGTTAAGTGACATTGAAATCTGGCCCACTTGTACCTCAATATTCTTGATAGCTGCATCATGTGCATCCACCCTTTCATTTATTTAAGCATTGGACCCAATAACCTGCTGCATCATTGCTTCAAGCCTTGCAAACCCGTCTTCCTGCCTTCCACCCTGCTGTTGCTGGGGTGGGTGGTACCCTTGCTGCTGATTGTTGTACCCTTGTGGTCTAGGATACGGTGCCATATTGTTGGGGGGTCTTATGCCTCCCGTGTTTCCTGCGTTATACTGTGGCTGCGGTGGCCTGTACTGCTGCTGTGTCTGCTGACCCCAGTTCTGATTACCTTGCCTCTGACCCCCATAGTTAGCCACATAGTTCATATCTTCAGGGTGCTGATGATGATGATCATGCTCTGTATTCCAAGGATTACCAATTGGCTGGCTGATGCAAGATGTGCACAAGCCTCCGTTGGTAGTGTCTACTATGTGAACCTGTTGCTTCTGCCCTGATTCCCTCACCTT